AAATGCAGATGACATTTTGGGAATCGCAAATGGCATTAGAAAATGCAGATGACATTTTGGGAATCGCAAATGGCATTAGAAAATGCAGATGACATTTTGCGACTCGCAAATAGCATTAGAAAATGCAGATGACATTTTGCGAATCGCAAATAATATTAGAAAATGCAGATGACATTTTGCGAATCGCAAATAATATTAGAAAATGCAGATGACATTTTGCGACTCGCAAATAGCATTAGAAAATGCAGATGACATTTTGCGGCTCGCAAATAGCATTAGAAAATGCAGATGACATTTTGCGAATCGCAAATAATATTAGAAAATGCAGATGACATTTTGCGAATCGCAAATAATATTAGAAAATGCAGATGACATTTTGCGACTCGCAAATAGCATTAGAAAATGCAGATGACATTTTGCGAATCGCAAATAATATTAGAAAATGCAGATGACATTTTGCGAATCGCAAATAATATTAGAAAATGCAGATGACATTTTGCGAATCGCAAATAGCATTAGAAAATGCAGATGACATTTTGCGAATCGCAAATAATATTAGAAAATGCAGATGACATTTTGCGAATCGCAAATAGCATTAGAAAATGCAGATGACATTTTGCGAATCGCAAATAATATTAGAAAATGCAAATGCGCTTTTTGGCTGAAATAACTTTATCATTTCATTAAATTTCTCTTACTCCAGCCTCACGTTTCTTCTTTGCGCTTTTATCACTTTTCACTTTTTCTTTCTTACTATTCGACATAATTCGCTATTTTTGTCGCTTAATCGCTAATCACTGAATTCCAGCAAACCTTATTATCGTATAAAAATATTTAATTTTTATCTATAAAAAAAAAAAAAAAATTTGATAAAATTAAACGTTTCTTAGAAATATGAAAACCTTTAAGTAAATGAAAACTGTTATAAACAACAATTATTATTATTGACAACAATAATAATAATAATAAAATTGAAATTAAAATAATGCCAATAATAAATAGATAAATTAATTAATTAATTAATTAAAAACAGCAATGAACAATAATTTGCATAACTAATAAAAATTTTAAAGTTATAAATATTTTTTTTCGAATATTTTTAAAAAAGCTAAAAAAATTTTAAAAAATTTGAGTAAACCTTTTAAAAAATATATAATTAAAAACCACCGAATAGGCGAGATAAAAACTATAAATAATAAACATAAATCTCTAAAATGTCTGTTTATTACAACCTGATAACAAACAAATTTGCAAATTTAACACTTATGTAAATTTGGCATTTAAATAAATTTATCATTCTTATTTTAAATAATAATTTCAACATATTTTAAACAAAAATGAAAAGTAAATGCTTCCTAAAAATTTTTCGAAATTTAAATTTATACATGCATCAAATTAATTGTTAAAGATGACAATTGTTACTTGCATTTTTGTTTAATTTCTATTTTTAAATATTTTACAATAATATATAAACTATTTTACATGCAAAATTATTTTGTAAATTATTTTGTAAGTCACATCTAAATGATAAAATTTTTAACTCTAAAAAAACTTCAATATATAAATTATTATATATTTATTATATCAAAAAAAGTAATTTTAAATAATTGTAACTCAATATGTTAACATTATTTCTTTTTATTACTTATTCACTTATTAGCATTTGATTACATACTAGTAATTGTTAAACATAAATTCTAAAAAATTTCAATATATAAATTTTTATATAATCACTATAATTTATAATTATATCAAAAAAAAAAAAATGAATGATTTAAAATAATTGTAATTAAAGATGTTAAAATTACTTTTTTTTTTTCAACTGTTGATTATTTATTACTACATATTATTTATTAGTTATTAAATTTAAATTTGAAAAAATTTTAACTTATAAAACTAGTAATTTAATTGCGAATGATATTAGCATTAAATATATATGAGAAATTTAAAAAAAAAAAGATAAAAAATGTGTGCGCCATATTTATAGTAATTATCATTTTATTAATAATATCACAAAAAATAATCTTATAAAATGATCTGATCTATGATAACAAAATGTTGGTCATTGTTCGACTATTTGGCACAATTAGAAATATATAAATAAATACTTCTAACTTCTTACTTTTATTATTTATTTTTAAAGTTGGATACAATGTCGATTCCATCTCTCTCTCCCTCTCCCTTTTCCTCTTCTTTCTCCCAATCTTTTGTTTTTTTTTTTTATCTCTTTCAATTTGAATTTTTTTCCAAAAAAAAAAATTATTTTTAAAATAAAATATTGTTAAAGAAAAAAATATATATTCAATGAGTATATGGAAATTAAGTATATAAATATAAATAATTTTTGTAAAGATATATGTAATTCATAATACTATTTTAATATAAAATGAATCATTTATTTTTCTTTTTCTTTATTATTTTTTTTTCAATTTTATTTTTTCACATTTTTTTTTAGGAATTTTTTTAATTAAAATTATATTTGTTAAGAAAACTGCTAGTAAGGTTTTTTTTCTTTCAGCTTTTTAATATTATTACTAATTTTAATCAATTGTAAGTGATAACAGTAAATTATGGGACAATTATTGGGACGTCAAAAATCAAATGGGTAAAATAATTTTTTTTTTATTTTAAATTTTATATATTATTGTTTTTTTTTTTTTTGGCATATAAACCAATTAATAATTAAAATAGAAACAATATTTCAAAAAATAATAAAACTAGTAAATTAATATAATAAAAATAATAAATTTATCGAAAAATAAAACAATTTTTTAAATTGAAAGGTTAAAGGTTATGTGACTACAATTAATATAGTATTTTTTATTTTAAATAACTATTTTAAAATTTAGTATATGTACAATATGCCTGGAGAAAATGCCAATGAGAGATATTTCAGCACTTCATTGTGGTCATTTATTTCATTTTAAATGTATCAAATATTGGCTTACTGTATGTTTTCACTTTTTTTTTTAAAAAAAAATTTTTTTTGTTAAAAAAAATAAATTAATTAAAGTTTTTTTTTTTTTACGTTACAAAATGATAAACGTTTTGAGCAGAATTTATGTTTAACATTTATTTGTTGTTTAAATTTGTTAAATTTATTTGGCATTATTTTTTTGAATTGTAGAATAAACTATAAGATATTTAAATTATCATTTAGAATTAATGCATAAAAATAGCATAACAATTAATAAAACAAAATGAATTTTTATAAAAATATTATTGTTTTTTATTTGTTTATTTTTTTATTTATTTTGAACAGTGTAACTAACACTGAAATAAATTATTTTAGTTTGCTTTTTAATTTTATTTAATCAAATTTATTTATTTAAGACAAAATAAAAAAAAAAAAAATTTGCATTGAAGGAGCAGAAGACATGTCCAGAATGTCGTAAATCATCAAAACTTGATGATATTATAACAACACTTTATTTTCACGATGATATAAGTGATAAGAAAAGTGAAATTGCTAATAAACATTTCGAGAGTGCTTTTGATGGTTCCAAAAAATTGGACACTTACAATAAACTTTTAAAACAGGTAAACATTTTGTTTATTTATTTATTTGTTTGTTCATTTTTTTTTTTGCATATCTTAAAAATATAGACCAAGTTTTGCACAATTTTTAAAAATTAGCTAAACTTTGCATTTTGTTTTTTTTTAATTTTTTAACAATATTTAAAAAATTTGTTGCATTCTATATTGATTACTTTTTTATAGATATAATTTATCATATTATTTATAGTAAATTATTAGTTTAAATATTACTGGAGAGCTTTCTAATACTTTCAAAAAAATCAACAAAAATATTAAATTGCTAATAAATATGACAATTGAATGTTAAAATTAATTAATTAATTAATTAATTGTTGAAATAAGTTAGCATCAAAAATAACAATCTGAACAATTTTTTTCCCAAATCTTTTTTAATTTATCTGAATTTAATTATTTTAAATGAAATTATAATTCAGCTTAATGATGCATATTTGGAGCTTCAGAACGAGAAAGCATTGCATGAACAAACAAAAACATTTCTTGATAAAGTTCAATGTGAAAAATTAGAAATGGTGATTCTTTTTTTCTTTTTTTTGTTTTTTATGCAAATTAAAATAATTTAATATTACTTTTTTTTTAAATGCAAATTAAAATAATTTAATATTTATGCAATTAAAATAATTTAATATAACATAAGTACATTTTCAATCGAACTAATTTGAATAAAAGTTTTCTTTCCCTTTTTTTTTTACAAATTTTTACAATATTTTTTTGAAAAAAGTTCAAACCCCCATTAAATTTGAAAATTTCAATGATGAATGTAATTTAAAATTATTTGTTATTTGCAGATAAGAATTATTCGGACATTGATAGAAAATAATGATTAATTGATTGATTTGATTTAGCAGAAATTTTAATTGTAATTAAGTTTCAATTTCAATTACATATGATTGATTTCATTCAACAATTATTTATGGTATTTATGAATTTAATTAGTCTTGCTTTAATCAAATCAAAAATTTTTCATGATCAAATATATTTATTCATATATATAATCAAATAATTAAATTCATAAAATCATAATGTATTGCATGTAGGATTTGTATATTATCAAAAATTTTTTTACTTACTTAAATTTAATTCATCCAATTAAGGAATTTTTGAATGAATAACAAAATTGATATAATTTTGTTATGAATAATTTATATGCAACTTTTCATATGGTAAATTTATACCATATAATGTGATTAAATATGTAATTATTGATTTCTTTTAAATTTTTTCATGCAAATAAAACTTTTGTCTCTTTTTTTTGTTTTGTTTTGTTTTATTTTTCTTTTACAAATATTGAATTTAAAAAAAAAAACACAATTATAGCAAATAATTTTATCATCAAAATTTTTTGTTTGATATTAATATAATTTAGAATGAATTCAAATAAATAAACAATTATTTTACCAAGCATTCATTTTTTTTGGTTGCTAATTTAATAAGCAACCATAGTTGGTCTCGTGGTGTAGCGGTTATCACATCTGTCTAACACACAGAAGGTCGGCGGTTCGATTCCGCCCGAGATCAAACAATCCTCAACGAGGATTGGCCCCACGTTTTCTCACCTTTAAGAAACACGTACGTATCAACGATAATTCTACTATTACATAATTCATTATGAATGTTAATTAATTTAATTTATTTATAGAATACTTGACATTTTTTGAATTCTTAGATGAATAAAGAAATGAACTAATATCGAGTTGTATTTATACGTAAATTTATACCACATAATGTGATTGAATATTTAGAATTTAGCTTTAACTTATGAAATTTTGGCATAGTTTAGAAAATTATAATTTAATCATATATAGGTATTAGAGAAATATTTCATTAATAATATACAAATATATGAAAAACAAAAAAAAAATTTCACAAATCAAAACTATACATAAGGCATAGTTTGGAAATGCACTATTTTAAAATGATTGTAAAGAATAAGCAAAATGAAAAATAAATAAATAAATATTTCCAGAAAAACTTTTCACTTTTTTACTCTAATATTGTTAGCAACATAATCTCATTTCCTTCTTTGAAACATTAAAATTTGAAAAGTTTACAATGGAAAATATTCTTATTAGGCATTTTACATTACAATAATTAGCATTTTGAAGAAAAATAAGTTCATTTCAGTTTACTTTATTATGACAATATTACATTTTCAATTCTTTCATTTGTTCATTTCAAAAACAAAATTTAAAAATAAGAAAATGCAAAAAAAAAAAAAAGGGAAAAAAAAACATACTTCAAATATAATGAAAGAAAAGATCAAACATAATGACTGGAATAAATGAATTTAAAAATGCAATATAGCATGGTAATTGTACTAAGCAAAATAATTTGTTGGAAGAATTAAATCGTAGAAAAAAGTGGAGAAAAAAATATAAATAAAAATCAAAATATGCAATTATTAACAAAACATACTGTTTTTTTTCTTCTTTAATCACATTTGTTTTTTTTTTTTTTAAGTGTTTTGGTGAAAAAAAAAAACTTTTTTAATATTTTTATAATAAAATTACAAATAATTCCTAACAATAATTGTTCATTGCAGATATTTTTATCCAAGTAGTTAGTTATTCATTACTCATCATCAAATTACATTTGAATAAATTGATACTTACGTTATGCAATTCATCATTAACACTCAGTAATAATATCACAAATGTGTATCAGAAAATTTATTATCTAAATTAATTTCTTAGATTTATTATTGAAGAATATCATCCTTCAAATGTCATATCAAATTCGTAAAAAATGAAAAGAACACAATATGCGCTTCTTTTTAATTACTTCATAAGCTGAATAATTGCTAAATAAATGATGCATTTTTTAAAATGAATTTCATCTAGTTCATTTTGACAGTTTGTAAAACACTCCCACCTTGAGGGAAAAATTCCATGTTGAGAGGAAAAAAAAAATAGAAAAATGCAAGCTTCCTTTTTTTGGTGATTTTTTTCTTTTTTTTTTTGCACCGAATTTATAATATGTCATCCTTATTTTCAAACACCACAAATCTTTCACCCAACCAATCAATCATTCTGTGCAACTTTTTTATGACAATGCCGATTCGAATAAAACTTCCAAATTTCATCTTTCAGATTCTGATAAAATATATTTTTACAAATATTCAAATTACGACAACATACAAGGAAAAAAAAAAACCAATATGTGCTTTTGCACTTCTTATGCATCTCATATATCTAGATTCCTTTAAGAGAGTTAATTTACGTGAATCTCATTTCCCTCTTTTAAAATTTCTCCAACAAACACGAAATGTCTCAACCTATTATGCTATCATAACAGAAACTCAAAAATAACAAAAAGAAAAAAGAAAAAGAAATGCATATAAAACAACAATGAAATCTCGTGTAATTACAAATTAAAATATTTGAATATAGTTTCATAAATGATCAAAGCATTAAAATCAAATTTCTCATCATATTGTTTTGGTTTGTCCTTGTAAACCCTTATATGCCAAATGAAACAGTATAATGTGATGGTTATCATCATTATATCATACAATAGAGTACCACCACTCTTTTTTTTCCAAAGAACTTAGTTTGATCATTGTTAACTTCCTCTGCGATACATTGTCTTAGCATAACTTAGGCTTTAATAAAGGCAAATGACCAGTCAAACAATCTTCGAACAAGAGTCAAATAGTCTCTCTTAATTGGATATACACTTCTAGTTCTTATAAGCCAAGAATGACTTTTTGAATACCACGCAATAATCTTCATTAACTCACTTCTTTTTGCAGTCAAAAACAAATTACCGTCAAAAATGACCAATAGAACATACTGAGAATCAAAAAGTAATGCTTCATACAATTTGCTACAAGAGCAACAGCAACATTAACAAATTCAGCATTTCAGGCATATCATTGACAGCAATAACACATCATATGGATCCATCATCTGTAATCGGTAGGTTTTGTTTTAATCTATAAATCAATTATGGTTAGAAATCATATCTGATTTTTAACGTAAACAAACCCAAAAGACAGTTAACGAAATATGCCTTAAATACAATTGTAAAAGCATAGAAGGACATTTAACTAGCACAGCTTACACTGTCAACAACTGCCGCTCAATCGAAATCTTTATCTTCCAAATAACGATATTCGAATGTAAACTGCTCCTTTTTACGCTGGGACCATTTTTCATAATCAAAATACACATATGTACCCTGGAAAATACGTATTTCAAATAAAAATGCTAATCTGTTCCAGTAAAAAAAAATAAATAAAAATGTTCTCCCTTTTATAGACTATACCAGTACCAGTTCACCAGTATGTTTTCCAAATATCTGCAGTACCTTTTTTTTTTCAAATATATTTGCAAATATTTATGCGAAAAATGAAGCTTAGTATTTCAAATCATCAATAAATATAGAACGACTATAAAGACTGCGTATGTGAACACTTAGCATCAGAATTGATGTGCTAGAGTATCACATCATTTTCCACTTTCCTTTAATTTACTTGACCATTTATTCCACATCACCAATATAATCAATATCATAAACATTAAATGACATTAGAAACATTAAACGACCATCCGCATCATCCTGGCTATAGTTAAATATTCAGCATCATTATTCATGGCCAACCATCTCACTCCCAATGATTAACAATCATTAGAGTTTGGCTCTCTTTATAACCTCAATGAAAAATAATGATCTTACTTGTTCATAATCATCAGTTATTTGTTTCGGTTCTTCATGTCGCTGAAACCACATCAAATATTTCGTGTGGAATCGCCACGAGAGCTTTTTTAGTGCTTTCGCCGCTAATAGTTGTGCACGTGAACCCTAAAATCCGATAAAATATCTTTGAGAAAGTATATACTATGTCTCATTTAGAAAACTGCAAGATAAACAATGAACTGAGAAAAAAAAAAAGAACATATATCAGTAACTAACCTCCATATAATAAAAAGCGAAGAAAAGTGTTTCTGGACTCAAACGAAGATAATATTCTAACGTATCCGCATTAATTAGAGGTGCTTGCGGATAATAAGTTGCGGTTACGCATGGCATTTTCGGCAAATAACTTCGTGGCTTTTCGGAATCCATTGGTAATGGTGTTCGCGTTAGCGCATGTTCCAATAATTTCAACTGTGTTTCATGCTCTGGCATTACTGGTGAACGACCTAATGGCGATGCTCCAAGCCATGCTGGTATCACAGCCTGCATTTCAAGCTGAATTTCAGAAACAACAAATAAGAGGTCACAATAGAATGGATAAGCAATGCATATTCTGAGCTTAGATTCCTATTAATAACAAAAATATTAATGGACTATTATGAATTCCTGACAGTTCTGTATTCAAAGTACGTCAAGAACACCCCAATTTCAACTTCAGTGATATTTTTTTAGCTTTGCATTATATAGTGGTTAGTTGCTATATTTTTAATTATGAAATTCATTACAGTAACCGAAAATTAAAATGTGTACCGCTTGTGGCAAGTGATTTCGTGCATCCTGAGTGGTACTCATCCGTAGCACCTGTCGCAGAGCATTCTGATCAATGTCATTCCCTGCTACATTATTTTGCAATGATACTGTAGTTGCATTAACTGTAGTTGCGCCTGCAGTTACAGTAGCCATATTTAGCGCATTATTCATCTCGCTGTTCACTTGAGAAGTTACCAGTGCTGTTGCAGAATGTGTCACATTTGATGGTGGCATGTTTAAGGCAGTTGTAATTGTCACTGAATTTTGCAATGATGATGCTTGTGCTGCCATTGACTTCAACGTGGCAATCTAAGAATGCAAAATTTCATAAACCGATAAAGTAATCAAAATAACGATAGAAATGACATGAAAAAGGATACATGCAAACTGTTCAATACTTTCTCTTTTTTTTTTAATTACCAATTTTATTTATTATTAGTTTTTTTTTTTTTTTTCTAATCTTTTGTGGTTTTATAAACATTGTAGCTCATCACAAAATAAAGTATAAATCGAACACACTGTGTTATATGGACAATAGGTAGATGTCGTGTAATACTCCGTGCAAATAGAAAAGAAAAAGGACATGATTGTTTACAAGATAATAGACGTATGAGACTAATGCGGCAGATCTTGGTTATGGAAGAGTTGCATTAAACATAAGTTTGGGGAGTTCAAAAAAGTTGCAGCAAACGTTTTCGGAAATCAGGAAACCTGAAACAGTTGCAACAAACATGCATTAGCATGCCTTAAAATTGATAATGCATTAACATTGATAATAATGCACTGAGTATCAAATGCAGTGTTCTTGACGAAATGTTTCTTTTCCTTTTCCATTTTCCATTTTCCATTTTCCATTTTTTTTTTTTTAGAACTATACGAACAGAACCACATAACAGTTGACAAAAATATGCTTAGCTCCTTATTTGAGTACAAAAACCAACAACACAATCTCCCATTTTTCGTTATTTCGTGTATTCCAGATGAAAAAGTAACTTCTTACAAGTATAAAAAAATAAAAATATGTGTAATCGATTACATAGATCAAAGTTAAGCTCTTAACATAAAACTGAATTATTCAAAAATTTATCTACTTCTGATCGTCTGCTGCAACAAACTTATCTTTGAATTAAACCAGTCCTTCTTATTCCCGCTGTTCCACCGCATTGCGTCAAGTACTACCTTTGTAATTATGAGATAGTGTAGCACAGTAGAAGATTAACTTATAGAAACTGGTTCGAAAATTCTTTTATTCATATCACTTCACTTTTACTCATATCAACTCATTTATTTTACCCAACGTATCTTTGCTAGCCTATCAAAGAAACCTTCAAAGTAATCTTGATCTTCAAAATGTTACTCTTTCATCATTTTTTTTTTCTTTCATCATTCTCTCAACCACTTTTCTCACTAACATTTTTGTATTCTATTAAATCAAATCTTTCTTCAAACATAAAGTTAACCAATTTCATGTTACTGTACGACCTTAATTAGCTAAATGCGTTTGCATTTCTTCATCCTGTTATTTTCCTTCATCATCATTTTTCATGATTCCCTTAATTACGTAACTTATGTCACCTATTAATGTCAGATTTATCATTCTAATTTCTCTCAGTGCAAAACAGTAAATGAGCAGAACAAAAATATAGTTAATTACCATACCTCATGATGGCTACTCGCTGAACTTGAAACGGAAAAACGTTTAGCAACATTAGAGTCCGGTGTTGAAGATCGTGATGTTGGCAAAATTCCGGGACTTAGCGTTGCAGTTGCTTGTGATGATAGACTCTAAAAAAAAAACGCGAGTGAAAACTGCTAGTTCAGCTGATCCTATCATTCAAATGATAGAACGTTAGTTTAATCCATGAAATAAAATGAAAAAAAGAATGAAAAATATATACGACACTGGAAGCATCTTGATTACAAATTTAAAGCCAACCAACTACCCTTTTTTTCCATCCTTTCCATCCATCTTTATTATAAACACATACACAGACAGACACCACACATACATTGCATCATTTCGACGAATTCAAACCGAATGACTTATTCATTTTTAACCAATCAATATTTGGAACAAGTAAAATTAGCTAAAATATTTACAACAAAAAATCTTTTGTTTAAAAACTCAATTTTTTCTTATTCAGAAAGAAAGCACCCAAAACAAGTAATATGCAATCGAAGCGCAATGATAATCTTTAACTTTCACGTGTTTTCCTTTTAGTTTCAGTCTTCCACAACAATGACGTCAAAAAAAATGTAAAAGTAAAGGCAATGATTCAATCATTCAAGAAATTATTTCAGAACAAAAATGTGTTGTAATGCAGTAGACGTCTACCTGATTCACAATAATTCCTCCTCCTTTTCTCATCCTTCACCATCCCCAATTTTCTAACAAAAAAACTTTATAATGACTGAAAAAAAAGAACTCGAAAATTTAACAATCTGGATTAGCAAAGATGAAAATTTAATCACATGAAAGTTTAAAATGAAATTTTGGTTGTAAAAATAAGATACATCATAAACTAGACTACAGTTAGTTCCACTTTAGTTTTTCTGTCTATTACTAAAACTAGTAATCTACGAATTCGCCGCCAGAAAAAAAAATATATAGCTCAATATTTAATTTTGGAAAAAGGTTGTCCATCAAAAGTATGCTTATCGATTTCATCAACAAATTAAAATTTCCTAACTTGAAATTAAAATCAACTGCCGTTTAGACACTTCAGACTCAATAAGTGATTGAATGGAACCTTTTGTTTCATCCTTTGGAACTGTTCTGACAATATAAATAATCACAGACAATGTAAAACGATAGGATGCAAGAACTCAAACCCAATATCCTATCGACAGAATATTTGAAAACAAAGAAAAGTAGATTAAAATGATTGAAACGGTAGAAGAAATGGAAATTCTAACTCGTAGAAAGGAAAACAGAATGATATAAACACAGTCATTTAATTATAAATAAACAAATAAATATATACACATATTAAAGACGGACTATGATGGAAGGATACTAGTGATGAAATTTTTGTTTAGCATACAATTATCAGTCTCTCAGTTAATATTTTATAATTTGTAAGACGCAAGATGAACAAACGCAATGTAGTAGACATTTCTTCACTAGAAACTACCTCAGTTTGATCTCAAAACCACCGTTTATTTTAATTCGAAATCTTAGTAAATAAAACATGCAAATGACCTAATGATGTCGATGAAGCGAAATAAATCCTGGATGGAAAAAACATAAAACTTACTGCAGCGTTAAAATTAGAAAAGAAGTCATCGGTGGGAAAATTAGAAAGGTAGTGGATAAAAATCAACAATTAAAAAAAAATGTCACCAAACAAGATATTTTGCTTCTCGTTTGACTATACCTTACTATTTTGTCACTAGCTATCAAAATAACTAAAAGCAATAATTCTATGAAAATATAAAACAAAAAGTAGATAAGGTCATTAAAAAGTGATGGATATTACTGCGTTTAAAGCTTAAAGCCGCATTTGAAAACATTTTAGAGACAAAAAAAAAAAAAACGAACTGATGGCATGTCAACATGCAGTGGTGATGGGATTGCATTTTCATCATTTACAAGAGGAACTGTTGATTGCTGTTGTTGCTGTACTTGTTGTTGTTGTTGTTGATGTTGAACTACTCCGGATATTGCAATAAGTTGTTGTTGTTGTTGTTGCTGATGTTGTTGCTGAGCAAGTGAACTGGTAGTTGTTGTTGTTGTCACAGAAATAATACCCGGTGACTGTCGTATCACTTCAACTGGTTGCTTTACACTGTAATCCATAATCGATAATTTCATCAGTAGGAAAAATCAATATACACAAATCAATCAGCTTAATTTTATTTTAGGAAAAGAAATAGATTAGTTATCCGAAACAAAAAAAAAAAAAAAAAGAAAATTCGACCAATTAAGATTCTCCAAGATTTTTTAACAATAAAAGTATGTGATCAAAAATGAACATAAAGATAATTTTGAGGAAGGATAAGATAAGAGTATAGTATAATGTGAAAATAATGTTAAAATGGATTTTTTTTTCATCCAAAAACTTTGAACAATTAAGTAAGATGGTAGAGTTTGAGAAATCAAAATTTACCTCCTTCCTCGGTAACAAAAAAAAAAAAAAAACATTTTATACATATTTTACAGCACAGATAACAAATAACAGCAAATATATTTCTAGAAAAAGATAACTTCCGTATAAGTTCAATCAAATATATGAATGTTTTAAACTGGTACCAAAAAATGATTTATGCCGTAAGAACTTAATGGGAAGAATGCCGCCTTTTACCCATAAGGACTTAATGCATATACAAATGCCGTCATTTCATTTGTGACTTCATAATTTTTTTGAAATGAACAAGTTTGTTACTATTTTTAGTCAGCATTGTTTGTTTGGTAATATGTTCGGAAAAATGAAGAAAACAGGAATCTACATATTATCGGCAGTATAAAAAAAAAAAAAAAAAAAAAAAACGCTATACAGCTGCGATGAAAATTAGCAATTATAATTACAAAATTTCAGCCAATTAATTGAGGAAAAACCCGATAATACAGGGACTTAAATCGTTAACCTAGAAATATGGCAAAATTTAAACAAACTAAGCATAATACACATACTATGCAAGCATCCCACAATGAATTAAGTTTGAGAAAAAATTGCCAATAGTTATGAAGCTAAAAGTATATATGCAAAATAAAAAAGCAATCTAGAAAATCAAACGAGGGAAGGGCAAAAGGAAGTTTAGTGAAACAGAAATATGAACGTTAAATGACATAGCAATTCATATGTTAGACGTACTTTAGCCATAATATCTGAATAAGAGTTGCCAAAAAATCGGGAAGAACTTTTCATGTAAAAAATGAAGGAAAAATATTTTCAAAAGCAAGAGATCTGTTTTTGAATATTTGAATAAAAAATTGAATGAATTTTTTAAATCTTCTCTTCGGAAATGCTAACGATTTCACTCTTACTATGTTAAATCAATACTAAACAAAAAAAAAAAAATTGACTTTTACAACGTTGTGATAAGTTAGTCTCACGTTTGATAAAAATTCTTTTTAATGAAAACTGAAAAATTCGTTCTTCATGAACTTTGATAGTTTCATTTTTGAACAAAGACAGCATATATGTATTCATTACGTACTGTGCAAAAAATTTCATGAAATAATAAGTTGATTATCTTGCTAATCAAGAATGTTATCAATATCATTTTCATCTCCTTGTCCCGTATCCTCTCGCGGCTCACAAAAAATTATTCCAGTACATATGATTATTCATTCTTGATAATGAAATTCCTGCTCTCCTAACGCTTCACTAATAATCACCAACGTCAATCAGAAAAAAAAAATTCGCCCTATTCACTTATTGAGCACTTTTCATGGTTTTATGGGTTTATAATTTCGTCAGCTGTTCTCTTTGAAAAAAATAAGAAAGACTTTTCCTTTCCTTTAAAAGTTTCATTTGATCTTAAATGATAAAAGTGGCAGGCCTTAAAATAAATTCAAGTACGACAAATCAAGATGAGAAAATAGAGAGAAGATGAGAGAGTAAATATTAGAAGAAAATGAATGGCTGAATTGAAAAATGAACCCTTTTTATATCAATACTTACCAGACCTTCTGCCAGTATGGTATTGCCAAAAATTACAGCACTTTATTTAATACTATCAGTTATCATTTCGAGAGTATACATACTCATAACAGAAATGTTCCGGAATTTTAAGAGAAAGATGAAAAATGGATTTCAAAAAAAAAAAACCTTGTTTGTACAATGCTTCCTTTGGTGTTTTTCGTCCCAAGTCCAACAGCCACGCTATATGGTATTCCTGGAGGTGGTGGTGGTGTGGCTGGTGGCGGTGGTGAACTAAGCGAACTTTCACCGCTCACTTGACTAAAAAACTTCCTTTTCAAATTTTCAAAATGAAGAAAAAATCTAAGATAAAGAAACAAATTAATCAGCATTTTAACCTTATCAATAATTTTGTTTCACTTCATTATTCTTATTCAACAAATTTCTATTCGCCCTTTCACTATTTTATTGTTGAACTTATAGTTTCGTGAAAAAAAAGCCTTTCGTGAATAAAATTATAAAAACTTAGCTTTGCTTTCTTATTAATAAGTAATAATATTAGGTACTGAAATACCAGAACTCGGTATGATACATTTACTTATCCTTATGATTTTCCTTTGCCTCTTAATTTATTATAGTTCAGGATTAAATTCTACACACTCTTTATAGAACTCAAGCAATGCTCGCAAAAAATCAGTCAAGACATTTGATCGGTTATAAGAGAGTTTTCATCACTATAGTTAAATAGTGTGAAGTTTGAACAATCCAGGATTAAAACATTATGCGAAAAGAACTAAAGAAAGAACACTGTGACATCTAATGATCATTGCGATATCTGTTAATTTAGCTAGCATATTCTTCCAGATAACGTAACTGCATGAATGGAAATGTAATATTAATAAAACAGCTTACAATGTCAGTCGTTAAACTGTTTTCCAAATTATTTTGATTATTTTGAGAACTGATCAGATTATTCCTATTACCACTCACTTTATTGCGTAACCAATATCGAATGATCTTACTTAACAGCCTAACAATCCTACTTTTATTTTTAGATTCAACAAAGGAATAGTTTCAAGAGAAATAATAATTTACATATAATTAAAAGGAAACAAAACCAAAATATTGCACAAACCTGCAAAGTATTTTCAAATTAGGTACGTTAACGATGTTTAACATAGTAGACTATAAAAATACACATATGCGCATATATTTATATGCACATACACGGCAAAATATATGAATAGAATTAATATATGTGTCGATAAATGAGTATAATATAATAATAAAATATAATATAAGTATATTTTGAACCAGGAGTATCGCGCCAATTTCAGGAGATCAACAAATAAAAAAAAGACAACAATTGATTGTTTGAACATGGAACCTTCTAGAGGATATAACTTTTTGCCTAAACAACAGTTCTCTGTTTACTGATGCACATCACAGCTAATTTCTTACATACCAAGGCTAGCAATTTTACTTCATAATGATGTGAGGAAAAAGATGTATAGTTCATTATTTATATTCTAAATATTCGATGAAGATTATGAAATCATAAAAGAAAAGTGTCATTTCAAAGTTGTAGAATTACTAAACTTAACAGGAACGAATGCATATATTGCATATAAATAGTAAAAGTTAGTTCATCTCGACTTGGTCCGAAGCACCATAGTTATTTTGAACCTTTCCCACTTCCTAAGGTTCGAGGAATCGAAATATAAGTGAAGTAATTTGTTTAGAAATAGTATAAGCTAATAAGAGCATATTACTAACTTGCTAAGTTTTAATGGTGTAGCTGGTGTACTCCTGCTAGCTGATATTTGTCGTGTAAGAAGTGCACTGGGCTCGCCACTCAAATGTCTTTGTTTTGTTGCGTTATCGTCCGTTTCCTAAATGATATTAGTGCTTCAAGATTAGATTCCAATATAAAACAAAATATCTACTGGCAAATAAACTTTTCTAATTCAGTAAGTTCATATCTACTCAAAGTAATTTATGAAATGGATTCCTGAACACAAAATTAAAGTTGTCCCTTGAAATGATTCTAATAATATATACAGAAAAAACCTTCGGTAAAACCGGTGCAGGTGATGCAGCTGGTGATATTCTCCCATCGATATTGTTTTCCATTTTCTCATCAGAATCAACCGAACCAAAAATAGCACCACCTAACTGTGGAGTATATGACTGCAAATCTAACTCATCATAAACTCCTGAAATTTGAAATCATTTTTTTCATTTGACTGTAACAGATGATAAAACTCAATAAATTATTGCAAACATTTAAAAAATAATCCAGAGAGCTTAGTGCTTAAAAGTGTAACTAAAGACAGTTAGTTGGAAAGCAGACTTTTTATTCACAAATTCAGTTATTCAGAAAACCACTTGAATTCTACGAGATCCTGTAGCAAAAACAATTTTGAATAATAAAAAATTAACCTGTTGTTTCAGGATCAAATGATTCAGAATCATTTTCACTTTCAGGATCTAAAGATTCGATGTACATTTCGAAGGGTTCTTTTAACGCATCCATTACTCTCTTACTTTCTAATGTTTCGTTATTAACAAGCCTCATACAAATTTCCAATTTTGATACATGAAACCTTATCCGTTCCAGATGTTTTCTCAAATCATCCAGTCGTTTCAATTTCTAAAATAATGTTTTACTGCAAGATAATTTCTAGTGTATAATTCCCACAAACTGCTAGCAAATTTGTTGCTTCTTATTTGAGATGAATAATCTGAGAATATGAAATGTACATAGCTTAACGCTTCAGTAATTAAGTTGCTGATGACCCTATTCTTTTTACTCGCATGATGAAAAACATTGTATGTATTCGTAATTATTGGATGTGGGAAATTGAAAAAAAAAAAACAAAAACTTGCAATTTGTCAATAATATATCATTTCTCTCTTCATCTCCTATTCCTGAACAGTGAGTAAAGGTAAACAAATGATTTTTCAAGAGAAATGGGTTATTCAACTTATAAATTTTAATAAAACTGAGACAGAAAAGACAACGGAGTGGAACGCCTTTTGTTCAAAAGATGTCAAGACGAATTATTGAAAAAATACAGATAAGGAAAACTAATGCACCTCTTTCTCCCCTTTCTTTGGATCATCTCTTTTTCCTTTCTTTCGAGTTTGATCAGCTGTTGACAAAGATTCAATTTGTGATTCAGTCTTATCGGCTTCGTCTTCCAGATATCGTATTTGGCACTAAAAACTTGCTTTTAAAAAAAAATTCCGGCATATAAGATTTCAGCTGAACTTAGAATTCTTAAGAAATCTTGAAATGCCAAATATTAAAATACCTGCAACCATTCTACAGTTTCTGTTTTTTCTTTTTCTCGTGGATCAAGCTTTTCTTCGGCTGATAACCCTTGCTTGCTATGTGGTTTGGTTTTATTCTCCCTTTCAATATCTTTAAACTGCTCCATTCTTTGTTCTATTAATTTCCGATAAGAAGTCAATTTATCCTTATCCTGAAAAATGCTTAGGAATATAAATCACCATCATTATAAGCGTGTTTGCATAGACATAAAGCAGAGATCCGAGTATAATATCAGCATATTCAATTTTCCATATTAACCTGAACATCTCATTTCTATATTTCTTTAGTTCTGTTAATACACCTAAGAACTGATAAAAGATTTTGCAGGACACAAAAAATCTGAGCATTTTTGAATTGCAAAAAATTCATACACACAAAAAATAATAACCTTAATATCGGATGAGTTTTGCCAACCCTTAATTTGATCCCTTAACCTTTGCAACTTTTTTATTTCTTTCTTCAAATCATCCTGAAATATTATTCAATAGTACTGATTTGTAATAATGAAACAATACGTTGAAACAGTGTCCTGAAACACAAATGAACCGAAAAAACTTTGCCAATGTTCAAATAGATTCCATTCATAAGATACTTTCGAAAATTTGGCAAATACTGCAAATTCCGCGAAAATATCCCGTCGTTTACTAACAACGTCCAAACTGAGTTAAGATTTCAGTAGTGTTTATGAATTAAACAAGTCCTGCTTTAAACCAAAAACTTTAGAGAGAAGATAAACCTGAAACTTCTCCCTCTGATTATCGCTATTTGCTTCCTGCATTTTAGCCATTGTTTCTTCGAATAATTCCACTCCTTCCTCCACCTATAATAGCATTGTAATAGTTCAGAATTGCTTTAATTTGAATTAAGCAAATAAAATGAAGTCAAAAATGCTCTAAAAAATGGCTCCAAATTTGAAACAGCGACCTTTTTGAAACATTTATCAATTTCATTGAGCAGTTTTCGTTTTTCGGCCATTGAAATGCTTTTGAAAGTGAGCTGAAAAAAACTACGAATACAAAGCATATATTTTTATTGCACATAGAAATCATCGAATATTTCATTAAATTTTGTGACTCTCTATTATATCACCTCTCCTAATATTCCGAAAATAAAACATCAGAAACTGGACCTTAAAATAAAGCTTATCAGCTTTTCTAAAATATATCATTCTATGATTTGAAGGGCTGTTTAATTTACAATAGATTATGATTTTTGAAAATCCCAACTTGAAATTTCCATTAAAGAAACAGAGACATTTCTATCTTTTCTTCTATTTGAAAAGAAATTTGAACTTACCAAACAAAAAATTATACCTACCTAATTACAGAGGTACAAGACACAAATGTATAGAAATGAGATCGATGAATGATGAAAAACAGAGTCTCTCGCTGATCGCTTCCAAGCATTCAGCGGCGAGCAAAGCCTTTGGATACAGCAGTAGCAGCAACAGCAAAAGAAGAACAGTTCCCAAGTTCAACAGTTCCTGTTGTCTTATTTCAAAGACCGATAGACTTTTTTTTTTGTACGATATATCACAGTAACAAATTATTATATGTTATATACTATTTCGTTGCTACTGTCACAAACAAAATTGTTCAGTGAAATCAATAACACGCGAATTTAACTGCGATACAACCCTGAAAATAATACATAGGAAAGGGTTATTTCATGAAATAACAAGTTTTGTAATTAACGATAGCAACTAAACTTAGACCAAAATATCGTATGTTCTCCTTCACATTGTTAAGAAAAAATATGGTTATTATGAGTTATAAAACATTTGTATAGAAAGTACTCATTAAAAATTTTAACATAATAATATGAAAATGAGTTTCAGCATCCGATAATAATGATAGTAATGTGTTCTAAATCGTATAATGTTCTAATTATTAAGCGTACAAAACAAAATAATTTGGCTTTTTTTTTTCTTTTTTGAAATAAACACATGTCTTATAGTTATGCATTAATAATGACAGAACAGACAATTTGTATGAACAGAAAGTTAAATTTACATTTCACATTACTATACTTTAAAACAAAAAGAAAATGGAAATATTAAATATTACTCGAAAATTTTTGTCTTATGCAATTTATAAATTATAACATGCATGTAATGTAATTTTCCAATCATGTGATAATCAGTCACGTGATAATTACCTCTCGATCATACAACGAATGCATTAAGTGAACATAAGGAAACATCCTGAAATAAATAACCTTACAGCGAAACATAATCAAAATTTACCGCATTACTATAAACAAACAAACATATAATGAATCAAAATATGAATTAAAGTTTGAAATTTTTGAAGTTAAAAAATTTTTTTAAAGTGCTAATTAAATGTTCTAATTTCATTAAATTAAAAAAAAAAAATTCAACTTCCTAAATATAATCAACGTAGACAGATAAAATATGAAAATTAGTATTGAGTTCAAATTATATTAAAATTATTTCTCTTTTTTGCGCGATCAATAGACCATTACTGATAGTTTACTGGTTGATGGCCGCGGCCCGAAATATTTTCGCGGTAAAAACGGACGCGTTTTTTCTATATGATTATCAATTCCGATAAGATTGAAATTTTCTCTTTTGATTGGATGGTTTATTGATTGATTAGCATTAGATATTTTGTTGGTTGGTTTATTTTTTTTTTTCCGAATAAATGGCTTAATTCATTTTCAAAATAATAGCTTCATTCTTGTTTTGATTAGATGAGATTAATTTTTCTCAGCAATTTTCCTTCTATCAAATGATCAATTAGCTCTCATAAGATTTGATTTAAAAATTTCTTCCAACTTTGAAAATATTGTTTTCCCATTTGTTCTACTACTACAGCAGTTATTAAAATTTTATTATTTGTACATTTACTTTTTTTTTCTCCAGTTGCTCCAAAATGAGGTCCATTAAATTTCCGGAAATAATTCCGGTTTTCTCATTCTGATGATCAGTTTCTCTAATTTATTCATCTATTGTATACAAATGAAATATGTTGTTTCAAACGACATTAGTAACCTATTGATAAAAGATAAGATTCCTGATAGACAAATATTTCTGAATATTAATAATCTCGGTTCTTCGGATTCATCTTCGGATCCTATTTACTCACTTGATGTTACGGATGTTGCGAAGTAAATTATTAAAAAGAAATCAGACGATTACTTTTATCGCCTATCACATATCGTGATACCTCTTTTTTTGCAAGATTTTGTTGATTGTAATAATATAACTAAATTATTGGATGCTAAGATAGATCAGTCATCAGGAAAATTCCATAACATCCAAGGAATTCCGGATTAATGATCAGCAATGATCAAATTTGAATCCCAGATTAGTAATTAGCGACGACCAAATGTGCAAATATGAAATGTTAAGTGAATTCATTCAAACCATTACATATATGAAAATATTACTATTGTAATTCAGTATGGAGTGAAAAAAGAAAAGGGTATAAATAAATCAGGTAAATTATTTCTTTTTTTTTTCTCTATTGTAAAAATGCATTCCATGAGTTCAGATGATTTAAAAAATCTAAGTAACCAATTTATTTTCAACATATTGATATTCACAGTTATAATTCTCATGAATAGTTTTGTAATGTAAATTCCAGTTTAAACCTTGGATGATGGTAATCCGCATTAGCTTATTTGTTAAATATATCATCAAATGGAAATATAATTAATATATTTTCAACTAATTATGATGTTTAAATTGCTTAATCTTATTTTAATCTTGTGCTTTTCCAAAACTTTTAATTTTTTAAAAATGAACAGAAAAAAAAATCTAAATATCTCTTTTGTCGTAAAAAACGACATATTTAAATTACATTCAAATTCTAATATTTTTGCCAGATATCTGATAAGTCATTCAGCAAATAATTTCGCATTTGTAACTAATCTATATCTAGATCATTTAAGCCATTATGCTAATTTCTTTTCCTCACACAATAAAAAACCCTTTGTTAGCAAACCCTTTGTTAACAAAAACCCTTTATTAGCAATCTTTGTTTCACATCAGTTAAAATGTCCTCTGTCGGATATCTGGTCAGTTCAGTTCTGTATATAAACCAGCCATCCTCTATTGCACTTATTCATTCTATATTTTGGGGTGGTTTTCGATATTATTGTTTTATAATTATGTTATGTCTTTCGTTACGCGTTGTTATAATGTTGATTTGTTGGTTTAATTACCCAAGTTTGAGGCAAAATAAAATATCTGGCAGTCTACACTCCACGACAAATGTTATGATTGAGTGATATTCTCTTTTTGTAATATATTCACTTCTTTTGACAATATTATATTAGCAATTTATGGAACGAATTTTAAAAAGTTAATTAGTTAAATCCTTTGCTTTTTTCTTTTCTTAACATACTGTATACCGCATGCCTCCTTAGCGTACTGTATACCGTATGTTTTCTTATCATACTGTAAACCTGGCATATTGTATGTTTCAATTACTTGCTTAAGACTGCCTCGACACATCTGAAAACGGTATCTGATTAAGATAATGAAGAAAAAACCAGTTATTATCGAAGGTTTAATTAAATTTATATCTTGTAATCATTTGTAATCTTATTTATAATATAGAAAATTTTAATGAATTAAAATTTGATTTCCTTACTTTTATGAAAAATGAAATTTTCTAATTTGTTCTACTAATTATATCGTTGGAAAGAATTTTATGTTTGATTGGTTTCAGCAATTTTAAAAATTTATCATTTTTATAGATTTTTTAACTATGAAAGCTCTTTATAATCATAATATCGCATGCGTTACTTTGCGCATGCCACTGAACCAAGAGGATGTAATATTTATTTATAAATATCTTCATAGTTTACTTCATATATTTTACTTTGCAAGAAATAAATAATAGTTAAGTTTTTGTTATATTTTAAAATTTGCAAAAGTAGTCAGTAAAATTTAATTTTTACTGGTTAACAAAAATTTTATTTTAAGGAATAATTGATCTTTTTAATAAATAATTTTTTAATAAGTAAAGAAAATTTTTTAATAATAAAAAAAAATTTGGCTTGTTAGCTTTTAGTGATAGGATGTCTACATTAAAAAGCGATAATATGAAGATCAATGATATGAAGTTGTCGAAGTCAATGTTTAAGCTTCTTTCATCATTATTTGAGAGTAAATTTATTTATTCATTCACAAATAATATAAAACGTGAAATAATCACATACTTTCTGATAAAATCAAATGTGTTGAAAAACTAAAACTTTTTTTCAAATATGACACATGCAAACGTTACACCTATCAATGTTATTTCAAATTTAACGTATAGAAAAAATGTGAACACAAAAATTCTAAATGTGTTAAATCAGTTAAGAAGATGAATAATTGTGTTTATTTGAAAATACCACAAAAAAAAATGTATTATCTATTATAACATCGTAATACCCAAAAGATCAGTATATTGATCTTTTTAATTTTTAAAAAAAAAAAAAAAAAAAAAAGATATTTGAAGTACTTTCAGTCAAAGATTTGTTCTTTTTTCGTAATTTTTCTATTTGGTGATTTGGAATTGAGTCGTTTTTACTACGCTATTCCTCAGACGTGAACGTAAATACTTACGAGCACGTTTATTAGTTAAAAAAAAAGCTGTAGGTAATACACAACGGCCTAAAATGATATTTAAATTGATGAGAATATTCATTATAATTAAACCTTCTTGACAAAAACTTTTTACCAAAAGCATTGGCAAAATACCAACTAATATTACTGAAATTATTAATGAGCCAGAAGTCATTGCAGCTAGAATTAACATCGATCGTTCACGTTTAATATTTTCCAACATGTTCATTCTATGTCCTCCATATCTTCCATCAGTTGCTAAAATTTCATCAATTTATATTTAATTTAACAAAAACAATAAGTCAAGATTTAATAAGCATCAAAAGAATTCTGAAAATTTTTTCAGTGATTTTAAAAACTTATTTATATAGAATGTAATATGGAAAAGTAAAATTTCAAAAAGTTATTTTGTTATTTTAGAAAAAGGAAAACGATTTATTAAAATGAACTTTGTGCTTCATTCTTAATTGAAGTGAAACGATGACGTATTGTGGAAATAATTGCGCAGTACATAACGAATATTATAAGTGATAGAAATAGCTCGCAACTATAGAAGAAACTGAAAACTGATAAGAGATAATTAATTCATAAATGAAAATTTTAATCTTATAAAATGGAAATGGTAATGTTAATTTTTTGATTTTTTTTTTCTTATTATACTTCCAGAAAAAAAAATTCATTGATTAATTATTAGTAATTAGATGTCAGAAAAGGAAGAAATAAACATAAACTTTTAATGCAACGCTAAAATAAAATGATTTTAAAAATTTATAAGCTCTAAAAAAAGAAAAAAAAAATTAAAGCAATCTTAAATCTAACATTAGAAAAACTTGTCCGCTATCACTTGATTGTTTGCTACAATCTCTTATCCAAAGCAATGTTGAAACTTGAAAACTTCTCGTGCAATAATGAAAGTCCACAAATGTAAGTGCTGAAAATTTCAAATTCAACATAAATAAATAAATTATGAGTCTAGAATTTTGTTTTCTTGGCCTTTTTTTTATAAGATTAGAATTTATTTGGTAATATTAAATTAATAGCAGGCTGTTAAAATAAAAGATTATTTCTAAAATTATTTAAATATGGATAAAGTTGACGGTCAGTAAAACTATCAACTGGCATCAGTGATCAGTTGTTAATCTTTAGCTGTTTAAAAATGTAATAAACGTTTTTTGGATAAAGAGACAAATCAGTTTTATCATACCAAAGACTGTCAACCATGCGAAAAAGAGGACAAAATACAACTTTGTTGATTCGAACAAAACATTGTATTTTGGTAAAATTATAGCCACGAATCGATTCAGTGTTAATAAAAATGAAAAACATAGTATGTCGTAAAATGAAAATACATTAATTGTAGCGAATATACGATTAATCCACGCTGTTTTGTATGCTACATCATAAAATAAACAATTTATTAAAAGTTGTTTAGATGAAATAATTAGATGTTAGTTACTTGCCACTTATTTCGTATTCCTTATATGGCTAATACTTGGACGGTTTTGACTATAAATAAAATCATATCAGTGATTGCAATTCTGATTAGATCAATAAAATGTTTATTTGTAGCAGTGTGCTACTATTGAATTAAGAATTAGATAATCAAATTTAAAATATTATTAGAGATTTCTACTCCTCAATAATAGGCTTACTTTTCGTTCATCCTAACTTTACCTTGAAATAATTGTGCAAATAAAGTACTTACCATATGAACTATTTTTAGACAGTAATATTTTAGGTAATACAATAGTAATTTGTGGAGTAAAATTTATAAATTGACAAATAATAATTTGTGATACAATAACGATAAATGAATGGCCATAAAGATTATCCCGATTGCAGCATACGATAGCCATTAGTACAGTACTAGTGATACTGTACAGCAAAGAGAGAGAAAAGAGTAGAAGTACTGTATATTTTGTAATCATATACCGTTCATCTCTTATGTCAAATACATTTGTCTTATTTTCTTCTTCGCAACACTTCAAGGGTGATATTAGAAATAATGCAATAATATAGTAATAATGAGCTATCATAATTATCACTGAAAATTGTTGTTCTTATCAATTTGAATATTTTGCCTAAAATGAATTTTAATCAATTAACATTGTTAGTGTTTGAAATGCAAACAAAACTTTAAAACTTTTTAAAATTTGATTTTCCAAAGTAGGAAATGAAATTATTGAGCGGAAATTGATTATTTTGATGTATGAATATTTGAAATTAATATGAAAATTAAGAATTTAACTATTAAATTAAATTTTCGTTTCTACGCCTACTGGAAAAACTACTAGTTACAGTGTTTACATTATTATCGCTCATCAACCAAATTAATTTGATATATGAGTGGTTTTAAATGCATTTAAAAATTGTTGTTTAGGAACAAACAATTTTACTGTTATCAAAAATTTGTTTGTTAGAAAAAACGGAAAATAGCAAATTGTGATGAGTGAAAAAATTAAATTGTGATTTAATAGCTCAAGTTGTGGGGTAATAATATAGGAAGCTGAATAAAATAAGATTTGGTTGAATAAATAGCAGTAAATTCTACATGTCCTTAAATATGTCAACAGGTGGGAAAAAAAAAAAGAATGAATTTCAAAGAACAAGTGTGGAATAATTAATAAAGAAAGTAATAGAAAATAAAAATTTTCCTTGATATAATGTATTTCGACATTTCATAACAGAACAATTCAATTTCCTTGTTAATAGCTTATATTCTCATTTAAAAAAAAAAAAAAAAATGAATGCATTGTGAGAAAATTTTTACTGTCAAAAGTAATTTATTTTCTCACAGGTAATACATACGTTAATAATACAGTAGTAATAAATATTATGACTAAGACTTAATTTTGATTCTTTATATTAGTAGTATTTAAATTTTTCAATGGCATTTTCCTAGACAAAGAGGAAATGACAATTTCATAAAGCTTTTTAATTTTATTATGCACTTTACATATTTTCATTTAAAAAAAAAAAAAAAATGAATACTAATAATAAATCATTTTAATTGTGTAGCAAAGACTTAAATGATATTAGTATGCAAATTTCTTAATAAAACATATGCATTTTTAATGTAAATATATTTAATATCTGAAATTTTATAAAAATTTTACCTTCTTTTTTTACCTTCAAATATATATAAAGTAATTATTGTAGGAAAAAGAATGCTTATTGGAATGCGGTCATATATGATAATTGCCATTGTTTTGTTGCTAATGCAACTGATAAGATCAAATCAAATCATCTCAAGACATCATTTATCGCTTTTTATCGAACAACAATGGTATAATAATGTATGCACTTTTTTTTTTAAATTTTAAATTTTAAAAGCTAAATTTCTTTTCAAAAAAAAAAATCACTAGACTATAACTGATATTTCAAAAGCTAAATCATTGCAATATAATTAATATTAATAATAATAATAATAGTAATAATAATAATAATAATAATAATAATAATAATAATAATAATAATAATAATAATAATAATAATAATAATAATAATAATAATAATAATAGTAATAGTAATAGTAATAGTAAATAATATATTTTAGATATCACTGATATATCGATTAAATGATTGTAAATATTCTAAAGTGAAACTGCAAATTTTTGACCAAAATTTTATCATTGTCAGCAGAACATATCGGTGCACTGAAGCTATCAAAATGATATTTGGCACAAATGCTAAAGCAATACAAAACAGATCAGATATAATTGAATGGGTTATGCCATACAGTTATATGAAAATGACAAGTTGGGTAAATAATCTTATAATAGAACTTATCAGTGCATGATAAATGATTGATAAGAAATAAAAAAAAAAAAGAAGAAACGAAACTTCTCAATTGATATTACAAGTTTTAGTTGATTATAATTAATTAATTATAATTTCTGTGAATTTTTCATTGCATTAGCATTAAATGGTAATTAAACATATCGTAGAGCAATATTGTTACAATTGCTAAGTTTTATTATATTTCAAAGAATATTTATAGCGTAACGGTTGTTATGATAATGCATATTTTGATAATGCTATCAGAACTGATAACGGATCAGTTAGAATGGATATACGCTGTGATAAGAGACGATTACGTGTATGGCCACGTATTTGGAAACGATTTGTTCAGGAAAATACGCAAATGCATCATCCATTCGCAGGTTTTTTCTTTTTTTTTTTTCCTTTAATTGAATTTACTATTAAAAACATCAATAGAATGTTATCATCATTTTATTATCAGTTTCATTCATTTAATTTCAATATTTCGTGATAAGATTTTTTTAAAAAAAAAATAATAATTAGAGAAAGTTTTTACTTTTAAAAACATATATTATTTTACAGATTCACTTTTTTTCTTTTTTTTTTTTTTAGTTAATATTTATGAAAGTAATGAAAGACTTTTTACGATTACAATCGGCGCTTTATTATATTTTATATTTGGAATATGCTTTTTAGTTACTAATTTAGCATATCTATCTGGAATATATACAGTTCATAATGCTACTATCATTCCAGAAGTAAGTTAATTTTTATAATTGTTAAAAAAAAAAAAAAAGAAAAGTGGAAAAAAGAAAAAACAATCTAATGAAGCAGATGTTATTTCCAAATCAAATAATATGTTTCTCAGGATGCAATTAATAGCTTTGTTGTTGCTAATTTAAAAAAAAAAAAAAAACGAAGCTAAATAAATTTAATTTTGTTAAGTCATAGAGGACAAGAAATGTTAAGATGAAAGAGTTAAAAATGTAAATATATGTTAATAAAATATTTTCTTTTTTTTTTTTTAGAAGAACGAAAAAAAGAAACAACGAAGCAAACGAGAAAAAGAATACAATCAATAAAAAGTTATTTATTCTACAAAAAAATTAAAAGCTAAAAAATCTAACTTTTTTTTTTTTTTGAGGACAATAATAAAAATAGCTAAAAGTTTTTAGAGAAGAAAATGTTAAAAGGGGAAGAAAAAATGATAAAAATGATAGTATAAAACAAATAATTTGAATGTATTATAATTGTTATTATATTAAAAGCTACAAATAAATGTACCAATTAAAATTTTTAACTTTTGTTATCATATTAGAAAATACGTTTTATAATAAATTATGATGCATAAAAAAAAATATATTGAAAATTTTTTGATTTAAAATATTTTATATTACAAATAATTAATGGTATGTTTGTTATAATGTTAAGTAATTATTTTTATTCTTGTTGAACTACACTTTAACTGCTATACTTTAAACTCTCGATACTTTTTTTTTCCTCATCATTTCATTTGCTAAATGTTTACATCAAATTTTAAACATTTGTAATAATTTATGCTAAACATTGTACTCTTTTAATTTATATTGATTTTTCATGTAATGACAAGCAATTTTTATGTTTGAAATTTGAAGTTCAATCATTATCGCTTAACTTAAGTGGATAGAACTTTACTAATAATAGCACTTACTCACACTTACTGCAAGTAGTAATGGAATTTAAATTTAAAATTTATAAAGTGGTTTTTTTTTTCTCGGCATCTAGACATAACATATACAAATTTAATCATTACTCTTTGCTCTTAAGAGTATGTCAAAGAGGTTAAAGTTGAAAATTGAACATTGATAGCAAAATTTTCAGATTATAAATTTAATTAAAAGTTGATTAATCTAAATGGATGGTAATTACCTGAGCTAAACGAGTTCCATTTTGCATAGATTTGAAATTAGAATTGCATACTTTATCAAGTCAGATAACGGATGTACAATCCTCATAATTCATTTTAAATTTTTTTTTAAAATTGTCAATAATCAATAGATAATATATCATACGGCTGATTATGGTACCAATTAAAATTAAACAATGCGAAATAAATTAATAATAATAATAATAATAATAAAGAAAACAATGAATATATATCCTTTATATTCTCGTATCAATATAAAAAACTCTAATCATAAATTCCTATCATTTATAATAAAAACAATTTATAATTATACCTAAAAAAAAAAGTTAAAAACATAAAAAAAAAGAAAGAATGCTCAAATAAAAATATATAACAAATAATAAGTTTTCACATTTAGTTATATTTAAATATAAATAACGAGTTCCATTTGCATATATTTGAAATTTAAGTTATCCCTTCGGTTAGCATACTTTGTCAAGTCAAATAAAGGATGTACAATCCTTATGGATCCATTTTAAAAATTTTAAAAATTACTCCAAAATTTTTTAAAAACTTCAAATTTTAACTACTTAGCATTTAAAATAAACTAGCTATATTATTTATTTCTAAATAATTATCATATAAAATGTCAAAAAAAGATTATCGAAAAGATTTGTTTAGTATTTGGAAAATTTTACATGGATATTAGTATAAAATCTTTTCATCCATAATAGAAAGATACAAGTGAAAATTTTAAATGATAATAATATATTTAAAATATACAATCACAAATTCAATAAATACCAACAATAATACATTAACAATAGTATAATCCATCCGGAAATAATGAAATGCAACGTATTTGACGGAATGATAACGTGTTTTGATAATTAGATACGAGTACGGCTTTATAATTTATAGAATATTAAATCTGAAATTAGCAATCTTTCACAATTTGATATGCATTTTTACGGAATGAATGATGTGCAATGCAAGTAATGCAAGTTGATATGATTATCAATTATAATCTTTATGCATGCATGCGATTAAAAGTAATTATAAATGATAATTAATTGATTAAATTTTATCATTTATTTAACAAATATGATTAATTCATTTCAGTATTCATTCAGTTTTCGAATTTTACTTATTTTATCATTATTCTTTCATTTCTCAAAAAGCTCACTTTTCTTCTTTTTTTTTTGTTTTAGTAAATCTCATTTGAAATTTAAGAAATGAAAGCATTGAATCAAAAAATTGATAAACATTGATATTTTATCACTCATTACTTATAGAATGATTCATTTTGATATGAATAATAATAACAGTAGTAGTAGTGGTGGTGGTGGTGGTGGTGGTGGTGCAGAGTAAGAGTGAAATAATTTGAGTTAAATTTTTTTTTACTGATAAATAGAAAGTAAATTGTTAAAATTGAAGAAACAAAGAAGTAAAGATTTTTAGTAAATAATCTTTTCTCATTTCAAATTTAGTAATTGATATGTGATAAAAAAAAAAAATCCTAAGAGATATCTGATACGATTTACTAAAGCATATAGAAAGTATTTTTGTATGTGTAATACTTCAAGTATTTTAACCACTAAACAAAAATAAAAATTAGTTATATTTAAGATAAACAAAAAAAAAAAAAAAAAGAAAAAACCTCAGTATGAGAAAATAATTTAGTGAGAAATGAAAAATTCATTAAATTTTAATGCTTATTTAAATACAAATTTTATTTTTGGATGAATAATTTTTATGTGAAATTATTTTTTTCGTTTTTTTTTTTCTTCTTTTTTCACTATTTCAATTTAATTTGAGATTTATGATTTTTTTTTTTTTTTTTTTTGAAATTCGTAACAGATTTCTTTATGTGATAAATTTTTATATGATAATTAATATTCATATTATTTATGCGAATAAAATTTTCTTTCTTTTTTTCTTTTTTTTTTTTAAAATAAAATATCCAATATTAAAAGTTAACATTTTCCACAAATTTATTTTTTTTTCATATTTCTTATTTCATTATTAAATTACCAATAATTTTTGAAAAATATTATTATTAACAAATTTGTTTGATTTATTGTTTCATTTTCAAATAATCATTTCATAATTACTATGAAATAATTATTTGAAGAAGAAATGAATGAAATAAAAAAAGAAAAAATGTGACATATTTAATTGAAATTTTAAAATTTATTGGCTGACAATAATAATAATAATAACAAATTAGATAGAATTGGTAATTTTATCAGAAATTATTCCACTAAAATTTTAACAATTATCATAGCTCAACAAAGAAATAATTACATCGAGAGGGTATCCCCGGGAATGTCACATGAAATTGTCACATTCTCTTCCAACCATCCATCTTATCGTCCCAGAAATTGTCATTTATAGTCAAACGCATTCATTCATTTCATTTATTTGGATCAACGCCAAGTGCATTCTTCATTTCCAGACACATTCACACTCTCTGCAAAACTCTTTCTTTTTCCTCTTCTCTCTCCCTCTCTCTTTCTCACTCACTCTCTCTGTGCATAAAACAAACATTTTTCTTAACTCTCATCATCTGACACTCTCGCATTTTTTTATATGACATAAACATTTTCATCCAATTCCTCATCAATAACTTTTATCATCTGTCGCCTCCTCACAATTCATTATCTCTTCTGCTCTGTGCGTCTGTGCATCTGTTTGTCTGTTCGTCTGCACATCTAGCCCTTTGCTATATACTTTTTTATTATGTCTGTTCACATATATGTATGTCTAAAAGATAAGCCTATGTGTCGCGTTATAGCTCAATAAATGACCTGCGCAAATGTTTGAATTGAGCGTTGTTGTGCTATTTTTCAAAATCTCACAATATGTCAGACACACATATACCTCTCTCTCTCTCTCTCTCTCCCTCTCCCTCTCTCTCTCTCTCCCTCTCTCCTCTGTTTCTTTTCTCGTCTACTGTCATCAAATACCTTCTTGCAAGGTCACTTCATTCGTACTTCTTTCACTGCGACAACATTCGCTCACTCTTCAAGCATATGTTTACACGTTATTCGTTTGATCTTTACCCTTTCATATTTTTGCGTCCGTTCCATTTATTAATTTAGTCCACGTGACGTTTCAGTGACAATTTGAATGTTTTTTAGGTGTAAGTAAATACTAACATTTCTTTTATTATCGATTAACTGTAAACAAATGCATTAGTTAGTGAGACGTAATCATTCATTCAGTATGTTTCATATTTCGTAAACTGTTTGTCTCACATACAATTTAATAATTCAATTATACATTTATAAATTATTCGTTTATGTGATCTTTTTTTTTTTTTTGCTTATTTTTTTTATTCGATTATTGTTTAAAAAATCAGAATTGTATATTTATTTATTGGAATATCCAAAAAATGACGTCATTGCATCACTCTTTTCAATTATTCATGAATGTGTTGGAAGGAGCGGAAAAGGCGAGAAAACATTGAAAGGGAGAATTATGCAGGTGCAAGTGACCTTGGTGACAGGTGTGACTGGTTGCACCCCCGGTACCGCCATGTATTTGCAACACTGTTGCTTATAATGAAGTGGAAAAGTTTATTATGATATTTATTATGAATTTATTGAATTTAAGTTTGTTATGAATTTATTATGATATTAGTTCAGTATATTATCAACTTTCTATCAGTTATTTTAGTTTTGATTTTTCTTCAAGAAATTAATATTTTAATTCAATCCCTTTTATCAATAGTACAGTAGCTATCTTTTCTTATTTACACTCTAATTTTATCCCATTTCTTTTCTTTTCTTTTTTATAACCAATCATGTGATAGCAATTTAATTGCGTTCATTTTTCGCTATTCCTTAATTCAAATCATTCAATATTGACAAAAGCATC